CATATGTATATTTAACATATTTATGAGATCAAGCAGGTTTTGATTTATTTAATTATTGTTTGATGCAGATTGTTAACAGAAATAAAACAGAATTTGTGTGCAACAGGTAACACAAATTTAATGCAGCAAATTTGTTAACACTTTCAAATTTGCTGCTAATCTATCAGGTATATTAGCATACGTCGGACAGTTTTGGCTTATTATAAATGCTTATTGCAACATCTGCGTGTGTGAAGTCGGCATCATATCTTTTTGCACCAGATTTTGATGCAAGTTCTATTTTACTCGCAATAACATGCAATTCCAGATAAGTTATTGCAATATAAGTTACGCTGAATTAGTTGAAAAAATGGCACTTTGAAAATATGAGGTACGTTGTAATGATCTTACCTCACGACTTGTTTTTAGATCGAATACAAAATATATGCAGATAAATCGCTACGTTTAATTTTTTCTCGCATTTCTTAAATTCCATTATTTATGTGCTCCTATTAAGTGTAATTCTAAATTTCTTATATATGAACCATTTTAAAGTTTATTACAAATATTGCAATTTGTATAAGGTCTTTTTTGTGGCTTGAAATAACGCTATATTAAGTTATCGGGGGAGACCATGGTAATTTTTCTTGACTTTCTGTGGCTGGCGAATTTGCATCAGACCGTTTATCGTCAGAAGCCATAATATACATATTTTTATTATTACATTTGTGGTATTTCAATGCATATATTCCGCGAAATATATTAATATTGCAATCATTGAAAATGCATTTTACGTTACCATCTTCTACGTCGAATGCGAAATACACAGTTAAACTGCTACGTCTAATTTCTTGTATTTCTCCTATTACTTTTAGATGTATCCTTGTTAAGTATTTCTCCAAATTTCTTAAAGGTGAACCATTCTAGGGTATATTACAAATAATGCAATTTGCCCAAGGTTTTTTTAGTGATTTGAAATATCACCCATACTAACAAGGGAACCTCGCGAAGTATGAAATTGATGATTTTAATGAAACTTGGTACACTTTGAGATCGCATAGATGAATTTAGAAATTATCAGTTGGTACTAAAAAAACGGTTTAAAGGGATAAAACCACCCCTTACATGTAAATTAATTTTTTTTCGTAATATCTCGAAACTTATTCAAGATATCAAAAAATGTTTTATACAATAATTTTACAGTAAAATTACTTCTATTTATTTACGTTAATAGAATGTGTATATTCGTACCGTTCTATATCATTAATTATTTAAGGAACACTCAATACGTACTTTTATTCTTGCAGACTATGATGATTACAGTAAGTTTTATTACAATTACACTTTTCAGTCTTATTAAATTTGTTACAATGTCGCTACAATTAATTTATGCCTTGATACTAGCTAGTATAACTTTCGCACAGCATTACAGAGCGTGTGTAATTACTAAATGAGTCATATCACTTGTGCGGGAAAATGTTCAGCCGAGGTCGATAAAAGATATTTCAATCGTTTCTAAAACGTAAATGTATAGGTTAAATTTATCTGTCACGTCATATTGCTGTAGGTACTTGTTAATTATTCATATAAAGAATTTCATTTAAATACATTTTGTACCAAACTGTAATAAGCTATAAAATAGCATATATTTAGTTTAATTGTAAAGTCAGGTAAAGCTCAGCTGAAATTGTTTTTTTACTTTTTTTGTATTACGTAAGGAAACTATTACATAAATTATAATAATTATTATTTGTTCACAATTTATTTTATTACCAAATAAAATGCAGAGTCAAATACGATAAAATTACGATGTCCGTACAAAAGATTTGACATCAGAAAGAATCAACAATTTGTAATGTATCATTAAAATGTAAATACTACATAAAATCTATGTATATTGCTAAAAAATCTAATATATAGCACATAAGATAAGTATGTCTAGAGGATAATTGTTACAATTAATTCACTTGCATTTTCTCTTTGTTGACACAAGAATTATAATCTATACAGTTTTGTTGCTCGTCCGTCTCATTCAGAAAGAAAAAATATTTAGCTTGAGAATAAAAATTTGAATAGATTTACTGATTTAATGTACTTATATTATGATTGCATTTCATATTTTAAGTGTCTTGTAGCAATCGATGAGACAGAAAGGATAATTGTTTTATTTTACGTAGTGAACTTTAAAATGTATTCATACTTACATATTATAAAATGTTAAAAGTTAAAAAATTAAAAATTAAAATAATTTAATAGGTTACAATGACTTGACAATATATATGACAAATATGGATACGGTTCGAGAAATAATGAACTTGTGAGAGTCCGCGAGTCCGTAACGTTATCATAAGATATAAATCAATAGATAAGTAAAAATAAATAAATAAGAAGGCATAGGAGCGTCAAGACTTTTTAAACAAATCACAATATAACGGATCTAAAAGATCCGGGTCGTTCTGTAAATTAAGTCCGTGTTTTTGCTTATTTATGTATATCATATCAGAGATAAAACTTTTGCTTAAAATTTTTTTCTTTGTCTAAAATTTTAATCTGCTCCCAATTGAAATCATGCATAGATCCTATGTTCTGTAATGACCGAACGTTGTGTCGTTTTGAGTAATCTACTATTTTGCCCAATGTATGACGCATCACAATTATTGCAATTTATTTTATAAAACACATTAGTCTGCAATAGTAATAATAGCTTATGTCTTAATTTCTGCACTTTAATAAATTTACTTAACTTATTCAAACCCGTATACGGCCATACGAATTGAAGCATTATTGATAAAGAATTTTTTTATTTTCTCTGAGATTGAGGAAACATATGGCATAGTAAAGAATAAAATTTTATTTTTTTTCACTTTCTTATTATTATTAGGATTATTGTTATTGGTAGAATTATGAGTTAAGTTATTAATGAGTTTAAAATTACAAAATAATCTTTTTTTAATGATGTCAAAAATCATATACAGAGGATAGCCATTGATGAGCAAAATATGGACGATTTTTTTTAAATTTTCTTGATGCGAACATAAGGTGTGACAAATGAAGAACCCTATCTACTAATTGTAAGCCGTATATTGTGCCTAATTTAATTGTGGCAAATCGGGTGGCATGAAGAAAATTAAGATATCTACTTGAAGACGTATAGGTTTTTGATATAAGTTATATATTTAAAAAATTATCCTTTTTAATTAAAGTAACGTCAAAAAAATTAAGTTTGTGTCATCTCAAAAACTAATAGATTGTGTAGCTCTATTTCTTATTTCATCACTTATTTTAATGAGCGTATGTGCATTGCAATACACTGTGCGATATTGTCTTATGTTTGATGTCCTGTGTCTAATACGGTTGTGTGCAAACTAATTGTAAGCTGTAGGCAATCGTTTTGTAGATAAACGAAGAGCTCTTGTTATTATTAAAACAATAAAAAGAGTCTTAAAAAGTGGCTGAATTGGCCATAAGCGGTCATGTAAAGTTTGTATAATTTCTTATAGTCTTTTCTCTTATAATATTTGTTCGAAGGTGACAGGAAAATATGTATATAAAAAAGCACACCAAATTTAATATCTTAAGAGTTTGTATATTTTACTGAAACTTAAGATCGTGGTTGCACACTTTTATGAATAAATATATAAAGCTAACAAAAAGGAAGGGTTCGTAAAGACAATGTAAGTATTGATCAGGTTGTGCAATCGACAAATAAAAAACTAGTGATAATCTTTTTTAGTGTCAGTTTCTATGATCTCCAACAATATTAATATTTTTATTTATCAATCTTTTAAATAGAAAATATTTGTGAAACAATTTTTTTAAATATCTTTAAAGAGGCGTACTTTTTTTATTTTTAGAGTATTAATAATGTAAAATCTTTTATCTAGGGTAGTTATAATGAAAGTAAAGCCTGCAATTGTGCCTCTAACTAAGCCTGGACTTGAAAACAAGGTACTACTTTTAGTTGATTAGAATATTAATTCAATACAATCCGATTTTAATATAAACATCTGCACGCAGTATACTTAATATTACGACAGTAACAAACAACTATATTTTATTACGATTTAATTTTATATTATCTGACACATTATAACAATAAATCTTGATTAATGTATTTGCGTTACAGGTTTTATATTCAATATTTATTATGTCAGAATAGCGTTAAAGCGATAATTAAATTAGAGTGACACTGAAGAAGATTGTAGTGGCAGTCGAAACTTATATTATTAGTATCGCGATTTTGTACAGTCTAGTATTGTAATTGAAACATATGATGTGAATATAACACCTTGCAAAAATATTTGCTCGTTTCTTGACCTACGATTTCCTGTCATTTTGTGATTTAATAACGAGCCGGTTTGTTGTTTATTAGATTAATATTACAATTT